CCCTCACTGGTGTGTTCATTGGGGGGGGTCATAACAGACACGGTACAGGATCGAGGTGCACGCTGCTGAAGCAGTGTCGTCCCCCCTCTCCCCGACGGCGATGGGGCGGTGTGACTAGGGGGTGCGCAGCGCCCCAAAATCCAGCGCTGTGGGATTTCGCGCAATCGCTTGACTCTGAAAAGCTCGCAATCCCTGCGGTGAGCGCTGTGGTCGCCGCAGACTGGCTCCGACTTGACGGCGGCATGGAGACGTGATGCCTCCATGCCGCCGTCGAGTCAAAATCGACATGCGAGTCGATCTTTGGCCCGCCAGAGGGATATGCGGCGTTTCGGGCGACAAATAGCGCTGTGACCGCGAAGTGGCGGTGGACATGCTCCCACGGTGCCGACGCGGCGCCGGAGTGGCCGGCGCTGCTCGCCGCGACCACGACGGCTACTCTGATGCTCCGGGCCGACCCGTCCTACCCGACGGTGGCACTCTTCCACGTCTCGCTCACGCTGAGAAAAAATCTGAAACGGCGTGCAGCAGAGTCACCGACGAGTCGGTCCGCGTGACTCCTCGTGTCCCGTACCGTTCTCACACATCCATAAACTCACTTTGGCCCCACTGAAGCGATGCCTGAATCCTGAATCCTCAGATTTTAGATTAGGACGCTGCGCACCCTCTAGTGTGACCGATCGAGCTACAAGGGGAGCTTGTTCAGCAGGATCAGGGGTGAGCCGAGCAGTTCTCACTTCCTCAATGGGTGAGCTTCAGTCCTCAGGCCACTCCCCCCCTTCACCCCTCGGCTCGTGTGGATTCGAACCACCGCCGGGATGGACGCTTCCTGCTTCCATCTTGAGAGATGACTGGCTATGACTGGCTTGTTGCACGACGGTAACATATGGGCGTCGGACTACACGGACACGATGTCTCAAATATGAGGGGTTTTGACTCCTACCGGCTCCTGACGCTATCCCTGGCAGCTCTGATGGCCAGGATCAGTAGTGTTGTGATGGAGGGTGCCCATACTAGCGCAGGAGCTGCCACACTCGCCCGGTGTGAAGTCGGTTTCGCTCGCTCCCCGTATTGGCCATGGGACCCCATCCGTATTGGCCGATGGGGAGGAACGGGGCGAGCCCCCTCCAACCCACCCGCGCTAGGTCTCGGGGGACGAAGGGGTCACACCCGACGACCTCGGGAACTAGCCGGGGCAGTCGGAGAAGTGGCAACTCCGTGCACTGACGGTCGGCCGTCAGAAAACACGCCTCCGTGACTCGGGTTACACCAATCCTCGCTACCCATCGCGGCCGAAGGATATCCACCTCGAGAACCTCGAGAACCTGGTGTGAAGTCGGTTTCGCTCGCTCCCAGCATCGCCATGGAGGCCTTCGCACGCGCGCTCCTCGGCGGCCTGGAGCGGGCTGGCGGTGTCTCCAGCGAGCTGAGAGAGGCCGCGGAGGAGCTGCTGCTCGGCGGCGAAGGCACGCTCCATCCGCTCGATCCACGCTGCCTGCCGTGGTCCGCGGGTGCGCCGTTCGCAGCGTGGCGCACCGCCGAAGAGGCGTCGAACACTGTCATGCTCGTGCTCGTCGACCTGAGCGGCGAGGCTGGCGAGGCGAGCTTGCCGCTCCCGGCCGACCTTCTCGGGCGGTGGCCGCGGCGCGCGCTCCTCCGCCTCTCGCAGCACCGCCTGGTCGTCGCTCCCGGGCCGCCGGGAGAGTTGACGGAGCGGTTTGGAGGAGGGTCGGGCGCCAGCGGAGAGGCGGCGCCGCCGCCGGAGCCCGAGCTGTACAGCGCCGACGAGCTCCGGCGCGGCTCTCTCACTGTGCGCGCGCCGCGGCGCGGCCTCGTCGCCTTGCAGCTGGAGGCGAAAGACGCCAGCTCGGCACTTTCCGAGACGCTTCCGGGACGCCTCCGAGACGCTCCCGAGACACCTCAGAGCAGCCTCGGAGACACGTTAGAGCGGGACACGCCAGAAGCATCCAGCCTCCGCCTCAGACACTTCCGAGACGCTTCTGAGACGCTTCCGAGACGCTGCTGCGAATCACAGGTGGCGGAAGGTGCGACCCACGGCGGCGAGTTGGAGCGCGGCGGCGAGTTGGAGAGCGGCGGTGCGTTGGGGAGCGGCGGTGCGTTGGGGAGCGGCGGCGAGTTGGAGAGCGGCGGCGAGTCGGAGCGCCGCGGCGCTTCCGCCTCCCTGAGCGGCGCTGGTGGCAGTGTCGACGGCGGCGAGGGTTGTGGCGGTGTCGACGGCGGCGAGGGTTGTGGCGGTGGCGGCAGCGGCGGTGGCGGCGGCGGCGATGGCGGCGGCGGCGGCGATGGCGGCGGCGGCGATGCTTCGTTGCGGGCGACGCATCTCTGGTGCAGCCGGCCGGATCGGCTGCCACGCGGTACGGTGATTCGCCGCGCGTCTGAGGGGTGTGCGCCTGCCCTCCCCCTTGGCACAGGTGCAGCATGCGGCGAGATTGCACGAGATTGCACGAGATTACCCGAGATTGCACGAGATTGCCCTCCCCCTCGTACAGGTGCAGCATGCGGCGGCTCGGCTGCCGCGCTGCCGCCGCCACCGCCCAGGAGGTGTGTGTGTGTGTGTGTGCAGAGAGGTGAAGAGACAGCCGCCTTGCCAGCGACCGGACACCATCGCGGTATGGGTGGACGCGCGAGACAGGAGATGTGACAGCACGCATCGAGCGGCACGCAGACACACACACACACACACAAGACACACTCGGCCAGCTCGGCTGCCGCGCTCTCGCCGCCACCGCCCAGGAGGTGTGTACGTGCGTGTGTCTGTAGCTGGCGTGTGAAGAGCAGTCCGCGGCTCGGACTAGACGTCAGCGCGGTATGGGTGCCGCTAGACGCGAGATGACGGCACGCATCGAGCGGCACAAAGGCACACACACACACTACAAGACATACTCCAGGAGGCGGCCGGTCGGAGGCGAGCGATCGAGCGGAGTCGTCCGTTGCAGCTCTGCCGCCGGTAGGAGGGGGTCGACTAGCACGGTGCCACTGCAAGCCGCTCGCACACAAGGCGGGTGGCCACGGTGGCCCGTCCGCTGATAGGAGGCGATGGCCCGGCTGGCCGGCTGTCTTCACTCGCGCCGCCAGCTCCGCCGCACGGGTCTGCCGCTGCCGGGAGGCTGCCCGCCGTTGAACGAGGGGCCTTCCTCGGTCACGGCGACGGCATCGGGTTTAGGCCAGCTGCTGCGGCTGGTGCGCGAGCTGCTTGCGGCGGCGGCGCTGCAGGAGGAGGGGCGAGGGGCGGCGGGGCCGGCGGGGGCGGCGGGAGCGGCGG